AGGGGATAATCCATAACATATGCAGGAAAGTTAACACCTTTTGATTTCATGTCTTGTATGTGCTTCATCATTTTGTTTCAGGTTTGTATTGAAGGTAACAAAATTTGCAAGAGGACGAAGAGACGGCAGAAAGTAGTAACCCTGGCCGTCAGAAATCACAAGATTTCTTGCTCTTAATTTCTGTTCATTTTAAATATTTTTGTACTTTCATGACTGGAAAATTGTAAATAATTTGTTTTTTTTTACAATGATTTTGTTTTATATTTAACCAAAATAATTATGTTAAAGAACAGAAAATCTTCTGGTAGAAGCCCTATTTTAAGAGGGGATAATTCTGTAAACCAGCAGAAAAAGTTCTGCCCGCTGGTTTACCAGATTTTTTCTCTGAATATTCTCTGTTAAAAAAAAACAGAATAAAGTAATAAAGTAATTCTGGTAAACCAGCTTCCAGAACTTTTTCTGGTTTCTAACAAAATTATTTTTTACAGTGTAGGCGTTATTCTTCAGAGGATTTTTTTTTCAAGTAAAGCTATAATGGATGGGTATCAAGCCCGCTACAAGGAAGATGTATAGAAATGAAATTTAATAAAAAAAATATTAATATCTTTCGGTCTAATATATTGCTTTGGAAAAGATAACAAATAGCGTGGGGTATGATAACGGGTGTACCGGGGTGGGATATCTACATTTTTTAAAAACAGATATACCTCACTTTGAAAGTAGACGAATTTGATTTTGTATTACCTTATAGTTATGTAAACAGGAATTCGAATATGTCCTGCATATCTATAAACATCAGGGGTGACATAAAATTATAAGCAGTTTAAAAGCTGGCCAAAAACAGTGACAGATTAAAGCGTGTAATTACGTGTGTTATTTGAAACAACGCTGCTCGTTTTGCGATCATTTTTGATGTTTTGTTATAATGTCTTTTGGTGTGTATCGTGTCTTTTATCCCACGCTTGGCATTGAAATATTTTCTTTGGTCATGAACTTGATTTCGCAATAAGCTTGAAACAATGAAATACTGATTTCAAAATACCACACCCGGACTCACTGACATTAAGAAACGTTTTGCGATCATTTTTGATGTTTGTTATAATGTCTTTTGGTGTGTATCGTGTCTTTTATCCCACGCTTGGCATTGAAATATTTTCTTTGGTCATGAACTTGATTTCGCAATAAGATTGAAACAATGAAATACTGATTTCAAAATACCACACCCGGACTCACTGACATTAAGAAACGAAAATATACATAATATATAAATCATTATGATCCCTAGAGAACTACCGAAGACTTGTTTATCTGAAATAATGTCTATTTAACATTTAAAATATTCGATTCACTGACACTTAGTGTTACCATAAGATCACCAGATAATTTGTTCGTATATATATTTTGTTTCTTTTTATCTCAGCTGAATTGTCGAGGAAGAAGACAGTTTTTAAGACCCTCGAATTTGTCGTGACTTGCATTCAGTCGTGAATAATAGTTGAAGTTGAACTATATATACTGTGATAATATTAAAGTCGAATTTGAGATAACAACATAAAGAAGAAAATTTGTTTATGTCTTCACTGAGCAAATAAAAATGACATGAAGACTAAAAAAACGCAGATTACTTGAGAGACCCAGAACAGCAAATTCTTAATAATAAAATGGGTATATAGACAGAATTAAAACATGTTTTTCTTTCCTCAGACATTATTTGATTATAAGGATTACTGGGTGTGTGTGTATATATATATATATTGTCAAACTATATCAAAGAAGACTATGTATATTAATGTCATGTTATATTTATTATATACTTTTAATCTTTTGTTGTACGTTACCTAATATTCTTTATAATCCATTGTCATGATAATCTATTATTCTAAGAATGTATATATATATATATGTATCGTATTTTCAATATTGTATATACATTATTAATATCTGAAGACGCCTAGAGGGCAGACAGCTAGCTTCTATGTTTTAACGTATGTCAGAATGAAGTAAAATGGAGAATTTGTTACCGGGACGTATTTTTATATATTTATATATTGATCGCAGGGGATAGGCCTTTACACATATAGCAGGGGTGGGGGTGTGTCTAACATAAGGCTTGTTATCTACTGTAAGTCATGGGTTTGAGCGTGACTTGGAGTAAAAACACCTGCTTAACCCAATGCATTTTCTTCTGGTACTCCTCTTTCTCTCCGGGAGCCACGATGACTAAGTGGATAAGCCGGCGTGGTTTCCCCTTGTCAGTGGTGCAGGACGGATGGCTTGACAAGAACAGCTGTCTGGTCGTTATGATGGGATGAAAAACCGAGGTCCCTTGGCAGTTGAAATTCGATATAAGAGTAGGCCATAGTGCCGCTGCCCGGGCAAAATTTTCTTCCTAGCACACTGTATGGCTTTTGTCCGTCTTCATTAGCCCTGTCGGGGCAGAACAATAGGACGTTAAACCCCATTTCATTTCATTTCATTCTCTCCAAAAGACACCCGAGACAAACTGAGTTGCTGAAATTAATGAAAATAAAAATATTCCCTAAAATTAAATTAGCGTCGAAAGGATTTGGTGCTGAAGAAGTTTTTACCAAAAATATAATATAAACAGAAAACAAAAAGTAGCCCAACACCCGAATCTATTGCGCTGAAGTGAAATTTATTACGCAAATAAATATGCATACAAGTTAAAGTTGCCAGTGCATCTCATTACAGACCTAGCTCACAAGGAGAGCATGAACCCCTTACATCGTAAAAGCATGCTTAGGAAATCAGCCATAGCATCGTTTTGTTCGCTGAAATGGGGAATGCTAGGGTGTCAATGGAACAGATTGCATGATATATAGCTGTGTAACCTTCCACCCACCATTAATCAATTATTGCGAAAATCAATGCTGTAAAGCACCATCAACGCCCTGAAAGAGAAAGTGCAGCCCTCCTGAGACTCGACATCCTTTCGCAACAAGCACCATCTTGAATAGGAAGTGGTTACCTTACCTCTCCGTATCCTACAGAACTGTTCGCAATCGACTATATACGGCACTAAGAGATCTATCAGGTGAGGTTGTAGGACTAGATGGTGCAAACACGTCATCATTGGAACAAGATATCGTTGAGACGTAGGGACATGGTATATGCACAGAGCAGCATCCCAGAGCAGGTTCCATTCGGCTCTATGATGATATGATGTTGCCCTTTCATATGACTATAAACGTCCACTGGCAATCTAAATAGCCAAGGGCACCAAAGAGAAATCTGGACAGGGCTGTAGTGACCTACTGGGACTTACATTCTCTCCTCGTCAGGCCAGTCTTTCTGGCAAGACCATACCGTTAACGTGTCGTTGTTGATTTTGTTGCTATATGTTTGATACCGGTTGCGCATGCAGATGAGAAACGCACTGAAACTAATTTGTTCCATTTGAGAGGCGACGCGACAAGTGATTGCGCACATTGACGTAGCCACTGAGTCGTGCTTAGTGGATGGCCAATTGCCATCACCATTCTACACCCTTGACAACTTTCTTAAGTCTCAAACCAAATTTACGCCTTATGAATAGTTAAGGAACATTTTAGACAATATTTCTAACCGAGTTCTTGTCTTCATGCTACCTTAGCGGTATGTTGTTGTTACAAACAATTATGAATGTAGTGAACTATACGAGGAACTTGCGGGGAAATAAAGCAAGGCCTTAAACCAATCGATGTAAGTTTGCATTCGTTACATATTGATCATGTTGGCACAGCAACTGCCTTATTTTAGTATAATCTAATTTTAGAGGTAGAATATTTTGTCTACTTATACCGAGTCTTGCGTAGTAATAAAAATTAGGTAAGTCACTGATCGGTTTTTAAATTCGGATTTCTCAAGCAAGCATTTTCATTTTTGGGTTGGATTGGATTTATTATTAAAAGGGAGACAAATGCGTTCGAGACTAGTTGTTTCAGACTAGTAATATTGATTCCTTCAATTTTTGCAACGCTCCAATCCTCAACTCAAAATAATAAATATCCACCAAAACCTGGCTGCAAATGTAACTTCATACACTCTAGAAACCAAAATTTTACATCTAAAAGGCTATAATACTATTATGCTTTCATTGCAAGGGAAGGAATACACTGTTGTGCTTAGTGTATTACCTACATAATGTCATAAGGTTGCGCTCGTTATCTCGGGGTAACTCGCCGACACATTTAACTATGGGTCTTCCTCCTACTCTTTAAGAGTTGAGCGGACACCCATTTCTCAGACATAATTTCGCCACAATGGGAGATCTTCGAATTGGTTTTTCCAATAGGGCTGGTTTGTTTTACCATATTCCGTTTCCGGTGGCTAAGTGTGCAGGACTTTATCTCGCCCAACCTGGAGGTTACGTATTCGATCACTGTGTTATTCCAGAAATTGCATCGAAAATTTCCGACGTGGTTCCCCCTTGTCAGTGGTGCATGACAGAGGCTTATAAATGACAACGTATAGTCGCTCGGAAGGTCCAAAAAATGATGTCCCGTGTAAGAGTAGAACGTAGCGCCGCTGTTCGGGCAAAATTTCCATCATTGCACACTGTATGGCGTTTACAGGGCTTCGATATCCCAGTCGGAGCAGAACAGTAGGGCGTTAAAACCCATTTCATTTCACTTCATGTACATCGTCTGCAGAGGATGACAAATGCTGACAAATTGATTATATTTCTGAAATACTGAACGGAATCATTTTTGTCCTGACATTCCTTTTAGAGATTCAAATTTCACAATAGGGCGTTAAACCCCATTTCATTTCACTTCATGTACATCGTCTGCAGAGGATGACAAATGCTGACAAATTGATTATATTTCTGAAATACTGAACGGAATCATTTTTGTCCTGACATTCCTTTTAGAGATTCAAATTTCACAATAATTTTGTAGTGGCAAAGATTTTATAAAATATCCGCGGAACTTTTTGGGCCAACACAGGGAACGAAACCGCGACTTCCTGGCTGGTTAACGATAAATTAATAAAAAAAAAAGAATTTTCTTTGTATTTCTAAGCGAATTACAAATTTAAAACAGATAATCTTAAAATCGTGCTGTATAGATTATGACAGGAACACTATGCTGCCTTTATTTACAGAAAAGTAAAAACTATGAAAATATCTTGTCATAAAAGTGACTGTAGGATGTGTATGTTAGACTTCATAGAATGAAAGATAGTGGGCCAAGTTTAAAAAAAGGATTAGGTCTTAAATTTCTGTAACATTTCTCTTTGACAAATATTCCGCTATACGTGGCAGAGCTGCGATTTTCTTGCGGTTGGCCAAGACTTTAGGATAACTACTGTAAACACTGGGATAATCTCTGTAGGAATTCTCCAGAATATCATAAACAGACAAATCTGCTAATGTCAACTGAAAAATAAAAAGAATATGTAACTAAAAAGATATTCCCTTTTTTAAGTTATGTAACATGAATTAACATGTTAAGTATTGTTATTAAAAAACACTGTGCATTTACAGTTATAAATTGGTCACTTATCGAAATAATTCAGTTATGTTTAAAAAACACAAAAGTATATTTACAGCTATAAAGTAATAGTTTATGGAAATAATTAAGTTATATCTTAAAATGTTTAAAATCTGAATCTTGTTTTGAGCATTTCAAACAATTAAATTAAGAAAATAAATCTAGGAATTAAGTAACAGACCTGATTTCCAACATAATATCCTGATCCATTAGCAGTCAGAATTTTTTCCAGATTAGCAAGAAAACTGGGTAAGTCGGTGTCTTTTAGTTTTAATTGTAGTTCCGTCTTCAAAGTAATAAAAACATATTTTACTTTTATATTAAGTATAATATGGGATTTAAATAGTCTTGCCCATAGAACAAATCAATATCTTTTACAAAACTAAGTATTTCAAGAGTTGTCCCTCTGACAAGGGATCATACTGCAATCATCGTCAAAGGCCTGGTTTCATTACTTAAAAGGTTTGGTTAATATCCCATGGAATAGATATGTTATGAATGTATCAACATTAAAACTATAAAGTATATAATAATATTTTACCGAGCAATGATCTTTTTAAATATAAAGATCAATAGCCATTTAAGGTACAAAAAGTCGGATATTATTAAATTAATTTGTTTTATCAATGTTATTACACGACCTTTTAATATTCTCTTCGCAAGTAGTTTGATCAAACCAATACCTTTTTGCCTGCATCAGCTTCAAAGTGCGATTTAGCCCACATGGTGAAATAATCGGCTGCTAAACCCACTACACCATCTATAGATAAAGCTTCCAAAGAGCTGGTACCATACAAACCTTTAGATTTTGGAGAAAAGAACTGGTCATTAATATTTACATCAATCACAAACGAAACTGTTTTTACCTAGGATGTAGAGCCTAAAACAATATATCGTCGAATGATCGGAACCGCGCCTCCAAATGCGTTTGGAAGCTCAGAATGAAGACACAGAAGCATTGTCGAATTAAGATGAAAAAAGCTGTAATTTCTGTCATTCTTTCCCAACTTTGAAATTTCGGTTATGTAGCATTTCTGACAGTGACCGCTAGTGTGTAAAGTACCCAGCTTTAAATAGCGGGTGCGGGGGGATGGATAGGTGCGCGCTGAATCATAAGGTCTGTCATTTAGTCAACTGGCGTGGGTTTTCTCCGGGTCTTCCGGTTTCCTCCTACTGCTAAAAGAGCCCCACGGGCAAGCGAATTAATGAAATAGAATTAAACCATGTTAGTCCAAAAATGACCTAATTTCTCTCTATTTAAATAAAGATTAATACTTCTACATGAGTGATACCTACACTTTAATTGATGAGGTTTAACTTACCGTATTCTCTAGATATATATGAAGCAATGGCTCCTGATTGAGCAAATTTCTTTCCATCTATTTCCAGGTAAGGTAGCTGACCAAATGGTGTTTCTGAAAATGGACATCAAATTAACCATTACTTTAAGAAAGCCACGCTTAGTTTGGATCAACGACCACGCAGCATCTTTGTCTTGAAAGAATGCTAGTTATAGAAAGCGGCTTATCCGATAGAAAACCTGTTTTTCACCAAATTTAATAAGGGTTCATTATGTGTTCACAAACGTGGGAAAAAAAATATGTTAAAACTGTAGCCTCTACAAAGTTCACAAGCTTTTCGGAAAAGGGGAGGAAACCGCTAAAACAGCAGATTACAGAGCGCTGAATATCGACAGGCTTCGTCCTCTCATGACCCCATGACATTCATAATGTTTTCGGAGAAGGGAAAGTAACTTTGGAACGGAATAAAGATAGAATTTGTCCTCTCATAATCCTACTGTTTCACACAAAATTTGGAAAAAAAATCGGTAGCCTATATTGTAGTCACAATGTTTTTTGAAAAGTGAAGTAACTCAGAAGGTCGCGAAACGTTGAATATTAATAGGGTATGTCATCACATGAGCCAAATGGTTTCCACAAAATTTCACAAAATAAAAACCGTAACCCGTAGCTTCTACCGCTTTCACCTGTTTTTTTGGCAAAAGTGGTCGGGGTAACCCTGGAACGGAAGGTGGTGGAACACTAAATATCAATAGGGTTTGTCCACCACAAAATAGTTTTGAAAGAAAAGACTGTACAGATTTCCACATGCATAACATGCTTGTTATCAAGATAGATATGATACCGTTATCGTTAATAAAACCTCGTGATAGGTTTATCTATATACGATGTTCTAAATACTTTAGACTATATACTAAACACTGTCTAGGCACGTTTACGAAAGGATTCGTGAATGAAATGGGGTTTAACGCCTACTGTTATGTTACAACCAGGCCAATGATGGCGTGCTTGGAAGGAAGATTAAATTCCATCTGTCAGTAGTGATTTTACGTGCACGCTCTTGGGGCAACGTTCTTCCGATTAACGGACTTCTGTGGTTATATGACATCACAATTCCAAGACGGCTGGTTTCTCGTTCATAGTGAATAGCATGGGGGAAATCTTAACCGCTGAAAAACAAGACAAGCCAATTCTACTTGTATTATAACTTTTAATTTAAATGAAAAGGGGTTTAACATCTTACTTTAAACCCATACACTAACATATAAATCAAATGAAAAGGGGTTTTGCATACACTAACAAATAAATTAAATGAGAATAGTGTTAGCATCTTACTTTTAAACTATAAATTAAATGAAAGGGGATAAAGCATCTTATTTTTAAACATATAAATTAAATAAAATCGGGTTTAACATCTTACTTTTAAACCCATAACTAACATATAAATTAAATAAAAAAAGGGCAACGCCGTGGTTAATTAAGACAGGTACATTAGATACACGAATGCCGGGATTTAACGTGGGCTACGAATGTCACGAATTGTCCCGAATCCAACATTTTTCCGGTTCGTAGATATATCGTAGACGGTTCCTGAAGTTCGTTAATGATTCTTATTTGATTCTTATGCATTCGTATTGTCCATAGCAGTTCGAAGCTCGACCACGAACGTTCTAAGATCCCAAGAATTAGCCCAATTGCCACGAATGGTGCCGAATATCGTAAACTTTTCCTAGCTTTATCGGCATTATTCGTGGCGATCGTTGTTTATGCGTAACTGAATTCGGTATATTCGTAAATAATTTCAGACACTATTCGTAACTGCTTCGTAGCCCGTGCGAAAGTCAGGCATAACACAAACACCAAATAATATAATAGGCCTACCGGCTTTGTAGTTTCCTGGCCATGCTGCATAATCAATCCTGTGATCTTTAAACGAGACACCAGCGGCTATAAAACATAGTCTGCACGTTTCACCTTTTCCTCTTAAATCAAAATAGTTAAACTTGTAAGAAGGCATTGTACAGTCGATGTCTGTAGGTTACGGTGGGTAAAATCTCAAGCGCGAGAAGGGTCAAATCTGAAACATAAATGGGCTTATATAACATTGATAAGTCACGTGACTAAACGAGATACGGACACACGAGATACATATCATATATAAATATTAAGATAAGATATTAAGGACTTGTTAATATCTAATTTATAACTCTAATCGCGACAGATATTAAAGGTGTTGTATCTTTAAGATACTATAATATAGATTGTTGCCAGAGCACTACAGAGTGATGTAATACTAGAATTCCCTTATTTATATGTCCACGTTTAATTTACCTGTCTGGAAAGGTCAATCAATTCGACAAGAGATGTGTAAAGATGCGCCATGTAATGTTATGGCGTGGATTTGTCATAACTTTTTTTTTGGGGGGGGGGGGCGGACGAACCCTGATCTGGAACATTTCATTACCAAACGAAATAAATAATTACGATCAGTTTACTGTACCAGTGTTATTTCGATGAAGGCTGTAACAAGGGTAATATGATGACAATATGGAAAAACTGACTACCTACATCAAAGCTGCATAAATATTAATTGTTCATGAAGTTAAGTGAATTGTCCAAAGACGTTCGTTCTACGATCAGGACTGTTCTCTTTGAATATCTTGGCGACATGAAGGGGTCATTATGCATCGCACACGCCATCAAGTGGCTCAGTCGGTTTTGCGTCATGGAGTTGCGCAGCGGAGTTTTGATACGGCGCAGAGTGCTGAAGGATTGCTCGGCTGAGCAGGAACTAGCAGGGTTCAGTAGTGTGAGATGAGAAGAGCTTTGACAGAAGGGAACGTCTGCCTCGCTTCAGGTGACATAATCAGGAAGGCTTCGTGCACAAGTGAAATAGATTTGACCGAAAACTGGAGCTTGAAGAATGGCAATTCTCGTTCCAAGTCCCGATTCAGCTTCAGATACGTAGAAACAAGCTCACCATCATGTGGAAATAAACCTGAAAATCTGTCCAGGCGATCAAAATCATGGGGTGGGGGGACAAAGACCTATTCGTCCCCCCCCCTTCCGATTCTAAGGAGGGACGCCCCCCCCCCCCCAAATCCACGCCCATGCCGAACGACTAGGCGCCGGAACATTCTTGGCCAATAGCGGGAATCCCCCTGGATACTAACCCCATGTGATCCTCTATGATCTAAAAACGATTAGTAGATCAGCTACCAACATTAAGTATACTATTCAAAAAAAGTAGGGGATATTTGATTTTGGGGGCATAATACTAAAATATGCAAATGACTACGAAAAAAGTCACTATAGAACCTAACAGAAGAAACATTTCCAGTTACATGTGACGCCCAAACGCACCAATAGCTACCGCATGGAATGCAGGTGATGCTTGGGATCATCATGGGGGTCCAACCCAAGATTTGCACGACTCTGACTTTGAATGTTACAGTCATTGTGGCATTGAATTCCAGGGTGGAAACATCAGTTTAATTGTTTTAGTGACCAGAAAACAAATTTTGATATGCGTCGGCTTACCCAAAATGAAAGGTTACGTGCCCTTGGCATGCTACAGATCGGCACAACACAGGCGGTTGTGGCGCGGACGATGAATGTTTCTCAGTCTGTCATAAGCAGGCTATGGTCCAGATACCGTGATACACAATCTGTACAGGACAGACCACGCTCAGGTCGACCAAGGGCGACAACTCAAGCCCAGGATCGATTTATCCGTACCTTGGCCTTGAGAAATCGTGTCATCACAGCAAATCAGATCAGCGCTCGTCTTCAAACAGACACTGGTGTGAGAGTGAGCGGCCAGACGATTCGGAATCGACTGCATAGGGGTCACCTTCGCGCCCGACGTCCTCGCGTGATCCCTTGTTTGAGAGATCATCACATTCAGGCAAGACGTCGTTGGTGTAGGGATCGTCAACACTGGGATAATCGACGCTGGAGCAATGTGATGTTTTCAGATGAGTCAAGGTTCACTGTTGATTTTTTGGACAGACGTAGGAGGGTGTGGCGTCGTCGAAACGAGCGCTTCCAAGACGTTAACGTCATCAGACATGATCGATTTGGGGGTGGTTCTGTTATGGTGTGGGGAGGCATCACTGTTGCTTGAAGAACGGCTTTACATGTTGTTGCAGGGCGTGTTACAGGCCAGTACTACCGGGACAACATCTTGGCAGTCCATGTTGTGCCGTTCGCACGACATCATGGCCGCCGTTTCATCTTCCAGGATGTCACAGGGCCAGGAAGGTTACCTCCAGCAACAGAACATCACCACATTACCTTGGCCAGCACTGAGTCCCGACCTCTCCCCCATCGAGCATGTTTGGGACATGCTTGGACAGAGGTTACGTCAACGTCAACAACGTCCTGCCAATGTCCCAGAACTTGCTGCTGCGTTGCAACAGGAATGGGACAAAATGACCTTAGACGTCTCATTAGGAGTATGCCACGTCGGATCAATGCTTGTTTGGCAAACAGAGGAGGATTTACCCGTTACTGACTTGGTTGTGATGCTGTGGTAACTTTGCTGTTTGACCCCGGGTATCATTTTACCCTTATAATGGTCAGTCTGTGCCTTACTTAGTCTAACGATCATTTGGAATAAATCGATGAATGTGAACTTCATTTCATTTTGTCATTTGTTTCTTCGTCAGTTTCATTAGGTGACTTTAATAACACTTAAAAATCAAATATCCCCTACTTTTTTTTGAATAGTATATATATGATTCATACGTTTCATTCTGTTATTACATTGACGGTATGATAACGTGTGTGTATGTCTTGAAGTTGTGTTTCATAAAATGATGCTCGACTCTGCAGCAACGCCTGAATGTTCGTGCGGCCTAATAAAAATTTCCAAAACTAAGATGATAATATGCATCGTCACACACTAGATAAGCACTATCTGTGATTTTATTTGTGACTTTACCAACAGGTCAAACTGGTAGTCCGACTGAACTGTGGCTTAACCTTGAATTTGTATACAAAGTTTTTTTTATGACTGATTTTAGTAGCCTAGGGTGGCCTCTTTGAGAATCTGCCGGGTGATCCTCGGTCACGCTTAAGCGTTTGAGAAAGTCAAGATGGCGTTCAAGACGGCCGCCATTTCAAATAATCCCCCATAACTCCCATACGTATGTTTCTGGGGTCAAGGAATAGACTTCATTATGTTGTGGGGTGATTAGATGATAGTAAAATCCAAAATGCCAGACAATATGGCCCTTTCACTGGTTAGCGGCGGTTGGGGGCGATTATTTCACCAAGCCAAGCTATATCTACTTGATTATCTAGAGACAAACTATATATTTCTAGTTATAGCAGCATATGACTGATATTATAACACCACATACACGCCTATCGTGTGAGGGCTATTTTCGTGTAGATTTTTTTTTAATGTTCAAAAAACGGCTTGTGCCCCCCTTCCCCATTACCAAACCATTTGGCCCTGAAGCCCCTGATAAGCATTCGTGTGGAGTTATAGTATCTGTCATGGGCTACTAAAACGATCATCTAAAAAAAACTTTGTATACAATTTCCAGGTTCACTCGAAATATTGGGTTTGGCGGCCGGACTATGGGTGTTAATCTAAGATTCTACAGCTATGTAGTGCATATTGCTTCGCCTTGGTATAATATATTAAGACTTTGTACTGAAATTGTAAATGTACAGTCTTAATTTGCACGTAGCACTCCTCTACATTATAGCATTACGCAATATGTAATTCAGTCTCATCTAGCAACTACTTTCCTGACCTCTGGTAGCTATTATTTGACAGATCAAGGCTTAAGATAAAGTCAGAAAAACCAGACTATCTTCTGTTTTTGTTCTTTTCGTGGTGGTGGTGGTGGGGGGGGGGGGTACTACTGTAGCATAGGAGTGATATGATTGGAACGGTTACAAAACGAGCAGCTGAATTTTGTAATATTTGAATATGTGTGACTGGTGAACTAGCAGATAAGGATTAGTATTATCAATACCAGATATAACAAGTGAATGTATAAGAGATCTAGCCGCATCTGTGGATAAATATTTCGGTATTTTACTTGTATAAGGTGGGTTAATATATTATAATTTACACATAATTTTAACATGATCATACGGACCTAGATTTGAGTCAAATGTTGCACCAATATTCATAGCTGAAAAGGGTGGTAATCTGAACAAGAGCATCTGCGAATACAGGAGTCGGTGTGAACTTTATTGCAGAGATATTTTGAAACTATAAGTAGGTGTTTAATTTTATCATTCAGTTTAAGGAATTATTAGACGTCCAGATTTTAATGCCATCTATACACATTAAACTCATCACCAACAGTTTTAAAGAAGATATACAGCTGGGGGTGACATGCTGGGTCGGTTTAGTAGTAGTCAGCCTACTTCCGTATTTGTTTCAACAGACTAGACAATAAACAAACATTTGAGATTATTTATTACAATTTCAACGTTTCTGAAAAGGCTTTTAAGTAACGATTCGGTAACAATAAAGTTATAACTTTTTATTCGTTTAATATGAAAACAACATTTTCCTTTGTCTTGCAGATAATATTACAATTGATGTATGGGAATATGGAATCGTGCTCGGTATATTATACCAGGAACTGCATGTTGCCTTTATATAAACAAGAGTAGGGTAGGTCTTAAATGTCTGTAGCTTTTCTCTTTGACAAATATTCGGCTATCCGAGGCAAAGCTGCGACCTTCTTGCGATTGTCTACCACTTTAGGATAACTACTGTAAATGTTAGAAAAATCCCTGTAGGAATTCTCCAGAATGTCATAGACAGACAAATCTGCTAATGTCAACTGAAAAACAAAATAATAAAATGATATCCTTTTTTTTTTCTAATAGCTTAATATAATTCAACATAGCTTCTTAAAATACAACTATAACAATCTCAAGTTTTGTTATTACACATTACTGCACTTACAGTTAAAAATGATATTTTAACGAAAGAATTCAGTTATGTTAAATTAGTGAAAAATTTGGTCTAGTTTTTAGGCATTTCAAGAAATTAAATTAAGACCACAAATCTTAGAATTATT